AGTAAAATCATTAGGGTAAGATTTAACTCTGCTATTTCTGTCCTGTTGAAAGAGGAGATTTGGACGCAGAGTCATACATAGAGGAAGGCAGTGCAAAGTAACACAGTGATAAAACAGACAGGTACTTGTCTAGGAGAGGGCCTGGAATGGATACATCCCCTGGGGAACCGACACTGCTCCTACCTTGACTCTTACCTTCTAGTCTTGGGCCTGTGAAACAATGAATTTGTGTTGATTAAAACCATCTAGTTTGTGTGACAGCTATTACAACAGCCCTAAACAGACCAGCAGCACATTATTCCTGTAATTTTTCAAATAAGTACCGGATTCTTTTAACTAAGTTATAGAATTAGGAAATATGGTGATTTGAATAAGAATGGCTCCCACAGGCTCATATATTTGAATGCTTAGTCACCAGGGAGTGGCACTACTTAGGAGGACTAGGAGGGTTGGTCTTGTTGGGGTGGGTGTGCCTCTCACTGCAAGTGGGCTATGAGGTTTCAAGGGCCCAAGTCAGGCCCAGTGTCTCTGTCTTCCTGCTGCCTGTGGATCCAGATGTAAAAGTCTCATCTACCCCTCCAGCATGCTGCCTGCCATGATGATAATGTACTAAACCTCTGGAACTGTAAGCCAGCCTCAATTAAATGTTTTCCTTTAGAAGAGTTGCCGTGGTCATGGTGTCTCTTCATAGCAACAGAACCCTAAGATAGAAAGATTTTGTGGACTTTTGAAGTTCACAGGCATTTACAGGTTATTTCTCTATCACACGCCTAAATGGAATTCTGATTCCATGGGCCGAGGAAACAAACATTACACTTGCCTCATTTCTTCCCATTATCCAAAATGAGCCTGGAGATGCACTGCTCTCAGCCATGTTTCCTCTTTCATATGCCTTGCTGAAAGGGAAAAGCTCACTTTTGATGTCAGTCTACTTAAGGCTTACGAAAAGTTTCAAGGCGTTTGTGCTTCAAGATTCTCAGCAGAGCCACCTGCAGCAGGGATGCCTTGCCGACTGCTGAACACTGCTAGATTGGAAAATGCTTGATTTGAAAGGAAATGGATATTATCAATCCTTCCTAGAATATCAAAAGCAGTAGGATACACTCATGCTCACAAACTACAATGACTGCCTAGGAAACCACTTTCAGAGTGGCAGATGTGCAGCCTGCTGAATTTCGATCATCTTTACAAATTTGTTATAGAATCATTTGATTTTGGAAACTGTCTTCTTACATTTGTGTGATAAATTTGCATAGACAAAATGCAACTTTCCAGCTTCCAGACTGAATCTCACTATTTTTGGTTGTTGTTAAATTGTGCATGTGTGCTTCTGTGTGTGTGGGGGGGTGGGAGGGTGGGGGAGTGTGTGTTACAAACCCCAGAGAAGAATTGACATGACGGCTTGGAAGAAATCAGATGATTACCACTTGTGATGGGAACTTGACGAAATCTAGAATCAGCTGGGAAGTAGGCCTTTGAGCACATCTCTGAGGGATTATCTCGGTTATGTTGCTTGATACAGGAAGACCCAGATTAATTGTGAATGGAAATGTCATCTGAGCAGAGGATCCTGGGTGGTGTAATGGGGGAGAGGCCTGTACATCACAATGCGCTCGTTGTTCTCTTGACGGTGGATGCACTGGGAGCAGCTGCTTTAAGCTCCTGCCGTCTTGATGTCTCTGCTGTGATGGACTGTACCTTGAACTATGAGCCAGAATAAGCCCTATTTCCTTTATCAGACTATTCCTCCTCCTCCACCTCCTCTTCCTCCCCTTCTTCTTTTCTTCTTTTTAAATCACAGCACCAGGAAAGAAATTAAGACACTGCTGGATTTTGTCATCATTGGCAGTGGATTTTCAAGTTTCCCATTTCCAGGTTCTTGGATGGAATTGGGCTCCAGAGGCTGAGGCAGTGGGATCATGAGTTAACAGGCCAGCCTTAGTTGCATGAGTGCTTGTCTCAAACACCCAGAATAAAAGCACAATGTTTCTCTTACAGATACTGTAGACCTACCACAATTTTGTCTGTCTTGTAAGTTCTTCCTGTAATTAGAACTTAGCCCAGTGCTGACCAACTAACAGAACTTCCTCCCTCAGTGGCAATGCTCCATGCATGTGCTGTGCAGCATGGCGGCGATTGGCTGTATGTAACTATTGAGCAGTTGTTAAGGGGCCCATGGGACTGTGAAATGGAAGCTTTAGTCTTTAAGGTTAGTTAAGTAGACTCACGTACCCTGGGGCTACTGTTCTGAATATTGCAGCTGTTGCTAACATTTAGCACAGCTTTTGCTGTGGATAGACTTAGGCCTACCATTTTGGAACTTGTCTTCTTTTTGTTCCCACTCTGTCTCTTAACCCACCATGTTGGTCTGTCTATCTTTTTGGTAAAAATATTAATTGTTATATATAATATATATAATATTATAATATCTGTTCACCCACTGACAGCACAATGAAATTGTTTACAGACAACAGTTAATAGGGAGTAAATAAAATAGTCCAAAATGCTGTATCAAAAGTAGGTAATGTAAAAGAGAAAAAAATTAACCTTAAAAATCATTGAATAGTAAAAGAATTAAGAGTAGAGAAAACAAATACATCAGTGGTAACAGATTGAGACAATGTCCCTATAAAAACACAAAGATTGTAAAACTGGATGAGATGTTGAAGCTTAACCAGTGGAACCACCAGAGAACATCTAATTATCCAAGCTCTGATGCTCAGCAATACACACAAAGTGTTATCAAGGAGGGATGCTTCCCCAAGTCTGGTGCCCAGTGTCGTTAAATAGGGCAAGTAGAGAGCTGCATAGCTGCTTGTTTGCCTGATGCCACCCAGTTGGTCATACTCTAGTCCTTTCAGCCATAAAGACATATTTACCATAAGCTCCACATTGAACTTCCAGTGGGGTTTTTCCTAGACTTTACCCTATGAACATTTTCTTCTGTGTGTATTTTAATGTACAACAGAATTTTCCACTGAAATAAACCACAGCAGGAGCAGACAGTTTTCCTGACTCCTGTAAATCCTCCTAGTGACAGAGTTTGAGCCTGGTCTTGGGGACCTCAGCCCCTGTACTTCTTGTCAGCCCTGTCCAGATAGGACACCCTGGACTGACTTTAGACTATGTTATTCATGCCATCCTCATCCCTACTGCAAATTGAGAGCCACAGTGCAAACTCCTGTCACTTCATGTAGTGATGTTAGGAAGGGAGTTTCCACCTTTTGCTGTTTTTGCACTGGCCACCCGTCCGTCACCATGTTCTGTTTGGTGTGAGAGGTGACAAGAACATTTAATAAATTTCCCCAGGCCATAGTCGTTCTCTCACACCATTCTCCTTTTTACCTTTAAAAGATTATGATATGCACACCTTTTTGGATGAACATGTAATTTTCATTAGTGTTATAGCTATATTTGCATTCTTTTGTACATATATGTACGTGTATGAATGTGTTTGCTTTAGAGATTATTGCAATATACATCCCTAACTTTGTGTTCACTCTGAGTTAATATTGTATTACTTCACTTAAATAGTTCTAGTGTATATTATAAACCTCATTCATTGTCAAATGTTATGTTTTTGCTGTAAAAATGCCACTTTCTAGAGGGGAAACCAGCCTTCTGTATTTACTATTTGCCATCATCTATTCTTTCCTGAGTCTCAGTGTTCATGTGGAATCATCTTCCCACAGTTCAGGGAATGTCCCTGGGCAGCAGGTCTGTCCTAATGACTTGTCTCAGGGTTATTTATTGGAGAGAACTTTACTTCTTGGAGAATATCTTTACTGGATGTAGAATTCCGGGTTGATAGGTAATTTACTGCTGTTCTATTGTCTTCTGACCTCCATTGTTTATGAAGCAAAATCAATGTTTTATTGCTTGAAGATTTTTTTCCATCTTTGAGTTTTAGCGTTTGTATATATGGTCTTTAAAAAAGTACCTGCCTGCCTGGAGTTTGTAGACTCCTGAACCTATAAATTTATGTCATTCACCAAATTTGAGATGTTGAACATTATTTTTTCAAACGTTTCTCTTCCTGGTTCTTTCTCCTCTGATTTTGAAACTCCATCTACACTTAGTTTATATCTTTTGATATCATACAATTCCTCCTTACTCTGATTTAAAAAAAAAATCTCTGCCTTTGTGTTCAAGTTGACTAGTTTTTCTGCTTGCTTGTCTTCACTTAATATTTCTTTTAAAAATTGTCATTTGATTACCTTCCAGTATTTTTATTTTAATTTCAGGTGGCTACATTTTCATTTCTAGAATTGATCCCCTGTCCCTCCCACCCCCTTCTGTCTCTCCCTCTCTACCTCCCTTTCTTCCATCCCTCCCCCCTGTGGTACTGGGGATTGGAGCTCTCTCTCTCTCTCTCTCTCTTCCCCCCCACCACACACACACACACACACACACACACACACACACACACACACACACACTCGAGTGCACACACGATGCTTTAGAAACTTTGCCAGCTAACTCTAACATCTGGGTTTTATCAAGTTCTGGGTCCAGCAGGGCTTCTTTCTCTACTACAGAGCAGCCTCGCATCTGTTCCCATGTTTCAAGGGGGAAGTTAGTATTCAGAAAAAGTTGTTCTCATGGCCATGACACAGACAAAAGAGGAAAGCTCACATTTCTGATGTTTCAAGCCAGACTTGTTTGAGGTTTGCCAGCATTTCATTCAATAAAACAAGTTCCAGGGTAAAGCCCAACATTGGCAGGCAAGGAAGTATACTCCCTTCATGAAGGTTGGGAACAAATAGATAGGATATGTATGCTTTAAAAATGAAAATCTAATTTTTTTTAATAAGGAGTATGTCTTTGGCTAGTGAAACAAATGGACAAAGATCAGTCACTGGCCCTAAGCTGAATAACCAGAAGCTGCATGGGACCACTGGTATCTTTGAGGCATAATGAAAAGTGACTTACATGTGGAATAGTGTACTTTTAAATTGAAAGTTTTTCTCCTTCTTGATAAAATGTCATTCCCTTTACAGAATGTTTGCCTCCAAAGTGTCTGACTGAAAAATGAAGAAATGATTAGACTCTAAGTTTGTGAAAATTCAACCTCATCTGCCCTTGGCCTGTGCTTATTTATGTCCACCTTCATCTCAAGCCACTGATGTCTGATAGGTTGATGATAAGGAACAAATGTAAGCCTAGATTATCTGGTCCCAAGGTAGCTAGTCGAGAAGTGTGGCAGAAACAAAACAGTTATTCAGCCATGTTAGGGGATTTAATTACACACATTCCTACTCCGACTTTGTATTTCTGAATTCTTTAAGTACAAACCTTATCCCAGGTGAACTACATTCCTCCAGGGTGGAAGTTTGCTTTATGAAGCTCTTCAACCGGCTGTTCATTTGTCTACCGAATGATGTCCTTTGTGATAATCCAGCTGTAGGAGAGCACTTTTCTGGGTTGTCTAAGTTGTTCTAGAATTCACAAACTGGAGAGACAGTGTGGGAACCATCTAGAAGCTAGAAGTAGCACCAGTTACAAGTAACGGTGGTGACCTGGGACCCGAACAATGGGGCCCTCACCGTGTGGGCCTGCCGCTGACTGCATTAGCTGTAAGGACTGGATCCGAGAATACCCAGCTGCTGTTTGGACTGGAGTAGCACTGAAGAAGCACCGCTCATCGGTCATCAGAGAGAAAGCAGTTTGGGATTAAGTTACACAACGGTAGCAAAGCTCAGAGCAGCATCCAGGAATGGTGAGGGGCGGAGGCTTTCCGATGTCCAAAAGGCGTGAGTTACACAATGGTAGCATACTGACACACGAAGCAGGGAACATTCAAGGGGTAGCCGAACCTTTTCCGATTCCTTGGAGTCTGGAGTCCACTGTTATGCCACCCTGGCTAGTTCTGCTTTTTTCCTTAAATAAAATAGTCATTCGTGAGCCGGGCGTTGGTGGCGCACGCCTTTAATCCCAGCACTCCGGAGGCAGAAGCAGGCGAATCTCTGTGAGTTCGAGGCCAGCCTGGTCTCCAGAGCGAGTGCCAGGATAGGCTCCAAGGCTACACAGAGAAACCTTGTCTCGAAAAACCAAAACAAACAAACAAAAACAGTCATTCGTGACCCGATTGACTCTCAGGCTTCTGTTAGGGCTGAAATTGCCATTTCCACAAGGGCACGTGTTGTAGATGGAGCAGGCTTTACTAACTTCTCAGGTCTCTGCTTTACTAAGGTCACAAAGCCACACCTAATGTCAACAATGGAGGAAATGGGCAAACAGGATGAAACTGGAACTGGTGGCCCTGAAGAGCAGTTTTTGCAACTTCCATGACCCCTTTTTGTGAGTGCTACTTCCATTTTACCCACTAGGTGGCACCACAGTACATAGTAATGAGAAAAAATGACTGACAAGGTGCTGCAAGAAAAGTTGCTAGACCAGAGAAACAGCTGTCTTTAGATTAGCTGTAAATTGAGCGTAATTAACTTCTTTAATAAACTGTATCTTCCAGATAGGGAAATCTTGGAGCTGGAGAGATGGTTCAGTGAGTGGCTAAGAGCACTTGCTGCTCTTGCAGAGGACCTGGGTTTGGTTCCCAGCACTCACATGGGGTGGCTGAAAGCCTCCAGTCCCAGGGGTTCCAACACCCGCATTTTGTCTCTGTGAGCAACTGAATGCATGTGGTTCACATATAGACAAGTACACTCACACACACAAAATGAAAATACATAAATCTTTTTAAAAAGATATGACAATCTTACACAGTCATGATAGAGAGTAAGTAACCTGTTCATTCTCTTTCATTCCTGTAAACTTGAACAAAGAGAAGCTTAAAGTCTCCGACTGTATCAGTAACAACCTTGCTGGACTAAATCAGTTGAGGACATGCCTAGCCCTCGGATCTCATCCTTCAGGATATTAAATCTCTTTGTTGAGAGGATGGATTACTGCCAGATCCTTTTATCGCTAGGGCTGAGCTCTTGGAGCTGTTGGGGATTAGACATGAGCCTTCTCTACCCTCAGTGCCTTCACATCCTTTCTCAGTCATTCTTCTGTGAGGCTCAGATAAGATGCCAGAGATAAAGGAGGGGCAAATGTGGCCACCTCTGCAGCATCTCCTTCCTGGTACCCAGCAGCCAAGCTATCCTGGTGACAAAATACAAGATCTTCTTGGTTCCCCTCGCATCCTCAGCAGGACAGGCCCACATTTGTTTATCTGCCCCATGTTCGATACAATTCAGGATGGGGTTACTCAGTGGAAAGCAAAGCTGGGCAAGTCTAGTACATCTGCCAGGATGAGTGATGCTGAGAGATGCCTGGGGAATGGTATCGAAGTCTAACATCTCTCAAGTGTACTGGGCTATGGATCTGCTGCATGACACATCCAACTTCCTGAGGCATCATTAGTATCCAGCACCATTTATAAGGCAATTTATTTGTGCATGACTTGCATGCGTATCATGTGCTTTAGCCCATGCATACAACACTTCCCCACATCTTCCTCTAAGTGGACACACAGGCTGTGCTACAGATTCTGAGGTTAAGGATTCTAGGGGGACATTTACATTGTCATTGCCATAACCATCAGGGTACCTGCAATACCCCAAGAGACAAAGGCAGAGTTTCATTAAAATAAAAGTTATACTTTTCAGTTTTGGACCTTAAGTAAATAGTCAACTACTGGGAAATTTCTCCTGTTTTTGGTGGAAAATATAATTTTGAAATCATGAGTTAGATTTGAAAGTTGTCCTTTTCATCAGCAATCCCATCTCAGACCAAGAAGTTAGGGTCTTAGAAATGCCTGGACCTAATCTAGACACTCACAAATAAGAGTGACAGAGATCACACACTCTAAGTTTGAACAATCTGTACAAGGAGACAGAGTAACAACTGTCAAACACACACAGTGCTTTAACCAGCAATCCCACGTCTACATTGTTATCAGATCTGCTTTCAAATAAGAAAACTTATCTGTAGACTGAGCCATTCACTATGGCATTGTAACAGCCAAAACCTAGATACAACTCAAGTATCCAGCTGAGAAAAGAAATCTCCCAAGGAACAAGGAACCTCAAGGTACCAATAGGGAAGGATCTCTAGGTCCTAGGAACAGAGCAAGGTACAGAAGTGTGTGAATATAAGTAATAGGTGTGCCTTTCCTCTCTCCATCTTCCTCTCAGTGTGTATGTATGTATGTATGTATGTATGTGTGTGTGTGTGTGTGTGTGTATGTATGTATGTATGTATGTATTTTTCTGCTTGTGTTTGCAATAAGAAAGCTGTGTAAGGCTATCCTAGAAATGAGTAGCTTTGCTTGACTACAGAAAGAGATGCTGACTAGCGTGGGCAAGAACAGAGAATACTTGTTGGGAACCTTTTGAATTAGTGTTTTTGGCTATGTATGTTCATATGAAGGGGGTCAAAGGGTGATGTCAGGTGTCTCTCACAATTACTTTCCCTTTTATTCATCCATTTATTTAGAGACAGAGTCTCTCACTGAACCTGGAGCTTGCTGATTTGGCTAGCCTGGGTGGCAGTGAGCAGGGTCCTCTGCCTCCATGCCTGGCCTGTATGGCCACACCTGTTTGGTTTCTTGATTGTTTGTTTGCTTTTAACATCAGGATTGAACTCAGAGTTTCTGCTTACAAAAGCGTTTACTGACTGAACCATTGCCCCAGCTTCTCCTTGTTAATTTTGAACCACATAAACACATTTACCCTTTCAGGCAACAACAGTAAAAATCATTACTAATACCCAGATCCCCCAACAATCAAAACTCCACAAAAAGCCCAACAATTCTAAATTTATGAATGTCACTGTTGCAGTCTGAACTATGATGATCTTGTGGTGTTGCCAATGACCCAAAGAGAGGGTCATTTCTCTTTGCCATTTTTGTAACGGTAGTGGATCTTTGCATGATTGACAAGCTCATGCAAGGTTAGGATGAACCCTCGTGTGAAGTCACAGTCTTGTCATGAATACTTCTTTGTATCCCATCTTCCTTTCTAATAACTGATAAATCCTACTAGAGAGGGCTATTGCCAGGACTCCACTAGTGCACACCGGTAAAGTATAGCGTGAAATGCTCAAAAAGAACACAACAGAACCTACAGACTGTTAGGCTGCAGCTATTGTGACACAGGCTCCAGCACTGTAACTGTCAGCAAAGGGTTGGGAGTACAGCTGTTGACACCCAGTAGGCACTAAATGGCTATCATCTCCCTCACAGCCCTACTTCCTGGACTTCCTGGGTTCTCCTAGGCTCTGTCTCTCTGAGAGACTGAAGTAATTTTCCACAGAACAGCTTGTGAGCTCTCCACTTTGGTCTGCAGGTGGACCTATTGAGCTACTCCAGACTGGTTCAGGAATTTTAAATGAAGAATCTGTTTGGCTCTATTATTTTCATGTCAGTTTCTTAGGTTTATCTAAATAAACATTTCCATATTCTTTTTGTCGGCATTTAAGTGGATTAAGTTATGGCAGGGGAGTGTGGTGTGCTGTGAAATCCAGCATCTACTCTAAGCCTTCAGAGTCAGTGAAGGAGAGGTACAGGTGGTTCTCTGAGTAACTCAGAAAAAAACAGAAACAACCCTCCAAATAAAGAGCCAACATGTTTAGAATGTTGGGGGTCACACCTCACAAGCTCCATCTTTAACTTCTTTGGGAGAATTAGCATGGCCTGTTCTAGATAAGACTGAAAACCCAAACCTAGATAATTAAGGCCCCAACCTTTGTATCTCCCCTCAGGCAAATCACCATGAAACAAAATGCATAAGCCTTAAGCAGACATTGATTATAGAAAATGATATTCTAAGTGAGAGGGGACTGCCTTTTGCTGGTTTTGTTTGGTTTGACTTTGTCTCTATGTAGCCCAGGCTAGCTTTGAAATCATTATCTTCACGTCCCCAACCCCCACTCCCAGTGCTGGGATTACTGGTGCTGTGACACTCAGCTAACGCTTCAGTTTTATGCATGTTGGGTCCTCATATGCATTGCTTATGAACAGTTCCTATATTATCCCCATGAGCTAGTGTTCACCCTCATCTTTCGGATACAGGAAGCAATCCTTGGAGAAGTTAAGTGGGCTAACATTACAGAGCAAGCAGGGAAGAAGGAAGGCATTTGAATAGTCTGCCTCTTTCTGTAGCATCCAGACATAGTTGAGTAGAAAGGACCCTCCGTCTTCTCCTGTGTTTCCCCCAGTCTTTGCTGGAGTATGAGTTCAGGGTCCTTGAAGCCTCCCAGAGATCTCTTCCAATTGATCAAGTGACTACAAATTTAAAAAGGCTTTCTTATTGCAGTTGTTTATACACTTCTTTACAGCCTGGGACACCAGTGCTCAAGGGCCGGGGAGAGACTGCGCGGTGGTTGAACTCTGGGTTCTAATCAGAGCATGGCCATTACTGAGCTTTGGGAATGAAGAGAGTTGGGCAATGGCTAGAAGGCCAGGAGAGTGGAGTTCTTCTATACGTAGGATCACTGGGTGTCTGAAAGGTGTCTAGAAGCATGGTGCTGAACACACCCCAGGGACCATTTGGCTTAACTATCACGACACCCCTGCATGGGGAAGCCACTACTACTCTTCACGTATGAGAAATTTAGACTGAGAAGGTCAGTCAGTCACTTCATCCTAGATCCTCATAGCTGGTAAGAGCCAAGTCAGTGCTAGCCAGTTTGGTTTGGGAGCTTACACCTTGTCCCTTGGCCTGGTGACCCTGATGCCAATTGAATTACCTATGCTTGCATTGCCCAGTCAGGTTGTTCTCTGTGCAAATGCACTGACATGCATACTGTAAACAAAAATGGGTCCTGCCTCTTGGGTGATTTGGCCATGATTCTCTCTTGACAATCTGCTCCGAAGGTCCTTTTCCTTTTCCAGGTGAACTCTCTCTTTCCTCTTGAAGCATCCTTCCCGCAAAGCTAGACAGATCGAGGGATTCATTGCTACAAGGGCACCAGGGCTGCTTTGCCTCACTATTCAGGACACACACATGCCAGAGCCTTTAAATGACCCCGAGACAGCCAGATCCCGATCAGCAAAGGGAGAAAAACAAAGAATTTTCTTGGCTGTGTTTTGTAGTTTCCATTAGCTTAACTGTCATCAAGAACAATGCTGACTCAGGACCTGAATTATTTCTTTCTCTGCTTGGGTTCTTGCCTTTGGCTTGATGCCATCCTCTGCATGCCACAAGGCATGAAGACAGGTCTCCACCGCGTCTATCTCTCTGCAAGGAGACAGATAGCATACATTCTGGAACAGGGAGCAATATGGCTTATTGCTTGGGAGAGTGCATCCAAGTCCTGGCTTGGACACTTCGGAGCTATGTCCTTGAGCACATTGCTTAATCAAAGGCTTGTCTTTCTTCCTCTATCAGCTCCAGACTCTGAGGCTGCCTCCTTGTGATGATTGTGGTTAGGGTCCATAAGACAAGCAGGGACAATGCTCAGGGCAATGTGCAGCCCTGGCCCTACGCTGGGTGGTGGAGATTTCTATACCTGAGCTTTCTTTGACTTCATGGTGCATGGTGGTGGTGTGCTACATGGTAAGGCACCTTTGAGTTCTCCACCTAGGCATACATTCTTCCCCAGGCAGAGAGTCTGGAGGACCCTAGGGATTTGTGAACGGCTAGACTTCCTTGCATCAGAGCATAGCCCCCCTTTCTCAAATGCCCAGGATTATGTGTAGAAGACTGATCCTCCATTCCATCTCCATTTGGTCCAGGGTGATCCTCAAGATCCATCAGCGCTCTCTGCTCTGATTTTCTGTCTTCCCTTCTCTGCTAAGTCCCCCTTGGTACCAAGCCCATGTGGTTTTCATCCACACAGGGGAAGACAGGTATTGGCTGGCTAAACCATCTTCTTCTACCACACATTTTTCTTCTTTCGTGTTTATGTGCTCACATGAGTAACACACAGGTGGAAGCCAGAGAGCTTGGTTGT